GTGGGGGAACTTGCACAATCGGTGGCTGACTAAATACTTTTTTGCCCCACTGTATTTGTTTTTGAGTGTGTGCGTGTGTTTCCAGAGTGGCGGTTTACGCGCATCATCAGGCCGGAAGGTTATATATACGAAGAGCTGGAGTTTTCACCATTCACGCAACGGTCCACGAGCACTGTGTGGGAGTCAGAAGCACCACAACGGAAGACATGTGTTTTGGAAATTGTCACATTACTATCACTATTCAACTATCTTCACTATAAATAAACTCACTCTCTATTTTGGAAAGTCCTGCATTTGGGTCCCGTTCTTGGCCTGAACCTGACAGACCCATTCTTTCATTCTTTGTAGAAGCAGCCTACATGCCTGTGTACTTGATTTTATACACCTGTGGCCATGGAAGTGATTGGAACACCTGAATTCAATGATTTGGATGGATGAGTGAATACTTTTGGCAATATTTTGGGAAATGTTCTGTATATTCCAAATTCTTTTCATGATGACTACAGTTTTATTTGTAATTTGGGGAAATTGCAGTTTAAAGTATGATTTGTGGCAATCTTCAAGCCCAGAATTACAGTGACTTCTAATTACTGTAAGGCGCAGACTTTTTACTTAATATAATTATTCATCCTGACCTGTGTTTCTTGTAGTCATTCAGCTTCTTGTTGATGAGAGCCTGTCTTGAGAAACCAATCTCCTATAAAGAATGAAAGCCACAAATTAGTTTGGTGTCTGTGTTTGTGCAGCCAGTGCAAACTAGCAAATATTATTCATACCTCGTTATCTGTTTTGCTATTCTCCCTAATAACCTTGATCCATGCCAGCATGTCATCGCTATCCTCGGCCTGAAGCAGGTACTCGCAGAAATCCTGCGTGGTCAACCTCAAGGTGTGTTTCCGCTTGGTTTCACTGTAGGCAATGTCAATCAAGCAGCAGCGGATGCTGATTGGACAATGTTCAACCTGACCGGGTCCTGCTCCTGCCCCGTGAATCACTGCATCTCGCTTGTCTTTGTAAAGGAAGAGTGAATGGGAGCGGAGAACGGAGAAGGCGCGTCTCCACGGTCGCATACTCCCACCAACTTTCTGTCATGAAGAAAGATGAAGAGAAGGCATAACCTTATAAAAATGTACCGTTTAGCAACTGAAACTACCTGATTGGCTCGCTGAAACTCATTTCTTCACATGACACTGGAAGGTGTATGTCATATTTTAAAGAACTTAAACATTTAGCCAGAGTTCTTTGCCTGATGCTGGTTTGGCAACATAAAGATGACCTATACAGTATTGTACAGAGTTTTGTTTTGATGCTGTGTCTGATAGGTGTAATAATATATTTATTATCACAGGCAAATACCAAATCAGGATGCACCGTTCAACAGCAAATCTCACAATACAATTATGCTTACTTGAGGGTATATGGAAATTTGCCCAACCAACTTGAAGGAGGCATTTGAAGAGGTGTGTGTGTGTGTGTGTCTGTGTGTGTGTGTTGGTCCATTTGGTGTAAATTTAGTTTGCGTTGTTTTCAAAACTCATTCCTGGTGGGTGTTGTTGGTCTTTTCCAGGGCCGATAACGTTTATGTGTTTTGTGGAAAGACTTTCTAGGTGTAGCCAGGAGGCAGGTGTTTTCTTTGGTGATCTCAGAAACCCCTCTCTCCTTTTCAGCAAACACTAAGTGGAAAGTCGGAATAAGTGTCCTTACATAAGAGCTGGCCATCTCTTTTTAGTTTGCTAACACCTGGACACGGACAAGCATTAGAAAAGACATCCTGCATAAATGCAGACACAGTGGGGTTTTTCTTCTTCTTTTATTTTTACCTTTCCCTTCTCTGTCAGAATCTGTTTGTAGTGCAGCCAGCCCTCCTTGTGAACATCACTGAAGGTGATGATACCCAGCTCAGAGGTGGAGTGGCGCTTGGATCGGGCATCCTCTTGGGCTTGCAGACTTTCCAAAGACTGAAACACATTGTGGAAGTATTATGTTTCGATCTAACAAGACTGGTCCATCTTCAAAAAGCGGGACGTGGAGACTTGCACTCAGTCTGGCCTTTTCTACATTAAGTGCTGTGTGGAGAATCTGACAGTGACAGAAAAACTATCTGGGTTTTTCCTAACCAAAAAGCTTGGATGATGAGTGAAGTGCAGGCTCTGATAAGAACTCTTAACTTTGCCTTCAAGCTTAGGGACAGTTCTCTGTGCAGCACTGCCAGAACCGAACTGAGTAGAGACATCAAACAAGCCAAGGAGGCCTACAGGAGGATACAGGACTTCCTCACTTATAATAACCTCTAGTATCCAAGCCCTCACCAACTACAAAGGCCAGAGCCCCCAACCCATAACAGCGGCCACAAACTCACAAAGGAGCTCAACACCTTCTTCACTCGGTTTCTTTGCCCCCCCCACCTCGCGGCTCATGCCACTGTTCCCACCTGTCTGAGAGCCCCCATCATCACTCACATCCAAAGACTGGTATAGACAGCCTTATTGACTACAGGCCTATAGCCCTCATGAAGTGTGTTGAGTGGATAGTGTCACAGCACATCAAAAACTCTCTACTCCCCTCCCTCAACCCCCAACAGTTTGCTTACAGAGCAAATCAGTCCACAGAGGATGCCATCACCATCACCCTTCACAGAGCACTGAGCCATCTGGAGAACACGAAGAGCTATGTGGGCATGCTCTTCATGGGCTATAGCTCAGCATTCAACACCATAATTGTAGACATCCTCACCACCAAACTGAACCATCTTCAGATCCCCCCCGCCACCTGCTCCTGGATCAAAGACTTCCTCACCAACCAGCCTCAATAACTCCATTTCTGGGAACCCACATCTCTGCTGATCTCACCTGGACTCACAACACCAACACCCCGGTAAAGAAGGTCCAGCAGTGGCTGCACTTCCTCTGTGTCTTGAGGAAGAATAATCTGGACCAGAAGCTGCTGTTGGCCTTCTACTGCTCGTCAGTGGAGAGTGTGCTTTCCTACTGCCTGGGTGTTTGGCACGCAGGGGTTGCCTACCCTCGGCCATTGCCAGATCCTCCTGTCTCAGGAAAACCAGAGCCATTGCACCCCGCTCACCACCTGATTGACCCGCTTCCCTCTGGTTGGCACCACAGGTCAATCAGGTCCAACACCTTCAGTCTAACAAACAGCTTCTTCCCCTGGGCCATTTGGACTGTTGACAAACCCCCACACCCCACTCTGCCCACTCACCTCAGTAATCTGAGCCATGGTCTGAGTAACTCCCACCACAGACTCTACTCAGACCAAGTATTTAATTTTCTTTGTACTATTTCCAAGCACTTTGCAACTTTGTGTGCCTTTTTCTTATTTTTGTACATATCCCTCTTGATTGTATATATTTCTCCTGTTTGCTATTTATTCCTGTTGCTATTTATATTTTACTCCGGCACAGTTGGTGTGGAGCACCCACAATTTTGTTGTACATGTACAATAAAAAATAAAGAGCTATTCTATTCTATTCTTATGGAACTTACAAAGACAGTGGTTACTGGGTTCCTGTCACGGTTTGCCGGGGCAAGCTGTGTGGAATATGAAATAGGACCCAAAATGCGGCAGCTCTGGTGCAGATGAGTGTTTATTTACAGGGGTGTGAGTACAAACAGCGGTGGCGACAAAACATAAAACCGGAAACCTAAACTGGGTAAACTAATAAGACAAACCAGAATGAGGATGCAGGGAGGTCCGGAGAAATACATACAGGGAGAGCGAGGGGAAACAACACAGACGAACCAGCGATTACCAAGACAGAAAATACAACTTAAATACACTCAGAGAACACAGGGAGATTACACACAGGTGGGAGACACAGCTGGGAGTGATTAACATG